GTGGTATTAATTTTTTTGAGCCATATGGATGATGCCACTGCCATAGACTCAGCTTCACCTGCCACAAGTGAGTGTGTTTGTACGTCTGGTGTTCCTGGGAAGTTATTTGCACTTTACCTTCATGACTTGTTGAGCTCTCGAATAGTCTTAGTCATCTCTTTTATTCCATCATTCCTCTCCCATCCATGTTTCGAACTCCTCGAACTTTTTCAGGCTTCTCTTGCAACTTGAATTCTGCAACCTTAACACCTACTCAATGGCGACATGGGATTTAAAGTATCCCAACTTGCCTTTCCAACAGCGGGCCACTGGTCTCATTGTGATACCACAACTCTTATGGCTTCAGTTCATTCATCTGCTGTTAACTTTACTGACTTAATTGTGCTGCCTTCCATCAATTCCTTGACAATCTGGGAAATGTTTAAAAGACTAAAACTAAAATAGAATCAATATGCAAGGCAATTGATGTATGTTAGCAGTGAGGCCTAAGAAATGGGCGCAGGAGTAGGCTGTTTGCCCTCTGAGACTGAGAATGTCAAGTGAACTCAGCAGCTGCAAAGAGGAAGCAAAGACTATTGTCAATTAAGTTAGTGAGCATTGACGTGAGAGAGAGAAAAAACAGTATTACCACACCCGTTGGGTCATTTTTTTGCTCAGTAGCATGTTACGTTCTTGCCTTCCTAAAACACGTTTTTAAATGTTGTTTGTATTGTGAATAAGCTGTATGTTGCTCTGATTTAAAACTTTGAAATACAAGTTTTGGAGCAACTTGATTTATTCTTTGGGTTAATATTTTTACAGAATGTATGGGATGGTACCCCCCATGAAATGTTCTAGTGAGGGGTTTGTAATATTGCAGTAGATTAAACAAATAGGGAGAAATTATGATGTGAAGGAATTTTAATCTTGCTAAGTATTTTAAATTCAAGGTCAAGAAAAATGTAGAAAGGCATTGGAGAACTGGACATATGTTGTAAATAACTGAGGATAGGGTGATCTGTAAGTGAGATTTTGTGCAAGGAGTGGAGTTTGGATGATCCAAAGTCTACAAAGGCTGTAGATGAAAGTGCAGCCAGGAAAGCTTTGGAAAGCATTGTCAGTCAGTGACAGTTGACTAACTTTTATCCATGTGCAGTACATGGGGTTGTCTGGGCACTTGTGGTCCTGTGATAGTGACCCTCCACCTGACCTGGATGCCCTGTGCTCAAGTCCCACCTGTTCCAGAGGTGCATCAAAACATCTTTGAACAAGTTAATTAAAAAATATTTACATGAGGATGTTTATGCTCATGCGAGCAGTTATCTTATGTAACATAGAAGTAACATGTGAATGAGGAATGGTGGGCTTTGGAGGTGACCATGTGGACATGAAATAAAAACAATTCCACACGAGAGGAACAAAGTAAGCTATTTTGAACTTAACAACTATTTCCTCCATTAGTGTGTCAAGTTTGAAAACTGCAAAGTGTTTATGTGCTGAGTTTTGCTTTGCAATTTCAACATGCTAGATGACATATGAATATCTATTTTGGGGGTACATTAAAGTAATTTGTCTTATTGTATGCAATTTTCTTCTCCAGGAGGAACCTTACAAAGCTCTCGCTCATCTTCAGTCACATGCTGGCAGAAATCAAGGCCATTTTCCCATCTGGCCATTTTCAGGGTGACAACTTTCGCATCACGAAGGCAGATGCTGCTGAATTTTGGAAACGGGCTTTTGATGACAAGTAAGTATGAAAATATTTTTGTACGTAGAATGAGTATTTCTCAAATGCAGAACTGCAGAATTGCCATTTAAAAAATATTCTTTAACCATATTTAGATCAAGGTGAATGGTATCAATGCTGGGAAACAGAGTGCTTTTTCATTTGTTAGTGTTGTCAACAGGCTTAGCATGGTGTACTTGCCAACCTCAACACCATCTCTTCCTATACTAGAAAGTTGTTTTTGTTTTAACATTTATCTTAATGACTTTTTGAGTGAGACTTAAGTGGTAGTTTGTATTGAATTTTGAATATAGTTGTGTATTTGACCAAAGAACTCATTTAGTAGAAACTGTTTAATTCATCTAATTTCCTTACAGCTAGCTGACCTGGAGATGAATTTCATTCTGTTATCTAATTCTCTGTTGAGACCATGTAAATTTTTAGCAACTGTCCCTAACAACACATTTACTATTACCCCGGAGAGCATGAACGTGATGGTATCAACCTCCTATGCTTTGCATCGTTATACAGTCTAGTTGTGAAATGCTTTTTTGCTGCTTTCTGCTACTTTTCTAGATGCCTCCAGTACATTTAGATTATCTTCTCTGGTTTGACCTTTACAGCGTTTCATAGTTTGACTGCTTCTTAATCGCAGCAGTAGATTTGCAGATAAGATGCAATAACAGGCCACTGAAATACACAAATATTAAGATCCCAATTGAAACACTGATTTCATTGTGAATTTTGAAATATTTTTGGTAGTAGAAGTCCATTCTTGTTGGCTATCAGCTTCTGCTCCTTTTTTTGTTCTTTGTTTGTGGGGTGTGAATGTCACTAACGAGGACAACATTCATTGACCATCCCTAATCCTCTTGAGAGCATCAAGGGTGAGCCTTCTTGAGCCACTGTAGTTCCTATGATTTATGCATTTGCATTGTATTGTTAGCAGGGATCTTTTTCAGGGTTTTGACCTAGTGATGATAGCAAGGATAGTGATATGTTTCCAAGTTACTTGTAACTTGAAGATCTTGAAGGTTATGGTGTTCACACACATTTTCTGTGCTCTTCTTTCTGGGTGATAGAGGTTTCAGCTTTGGTAGGTGCTGTTGAAGAATGTTTGGTGAGTTCCTCCAGTGCGTTTTCTTAATTTTACACACTTCAACTATATTATGCTGGTTCTTGATGGCATGAATGTTAAAGGTGATGGGCCAGCATTCACGCAGGTTACTTTGTCCTTGAGTATTGTTTGAGCTGCACCCTTGAGAGAATCTATCATACTTGTGACTTTTGCCTTTCGACAGTGGAAAGGGTTTGGGGAATTGGAAGTTGAGTCATTTGCAGCAGAATATTCATTCTTTGATTTGTTCTTGTAATCACGGTATATGGCTATTTCAGTTAAGTTTCTGTTGCATGGTGACGACTTTGCCCATGATGTTGATGGTGGGGAAGTTAGCAAGGATAATTCCAGACAACGTCAAGGGGAGTTGGTTAGACTTTCTGTTTTTGGAAATGGAAACATAAGAAATAGCAACAGGAGTGGACAGTACAGCTTCTTGAGCCTGCTCTGCCAATCAGCACAATCGCAGCTGATCTACTGTGTCACTTCACTTTTCTGCCCACACCCTTGAGACATCAAATATCTATATGCTGGCCTTAAACGTACTGACCAATGCAGCAAAGTTATCCTCGTAGAGTCCAAACTGTGCATTGATGGACAAGTTATCACTGAATAAGTGCCACTTGATGTCATTTGGTGGCATTTTGCTGATGGAGTGATAATTGGCTGGATTGAATTTGCCCTGCGTTTTACAGACAGGAAACATTTGGGCAATTTTTCACATCACTGAGTAAATACCTGTTTGGGAGATGAACTGTAACAGGCAGTCTAGGAGTGTATCATGTTTCGGAGTACAGGCCTTCAACTGTACAGCTGTAACGTTGTTGGGGCATACATTCTTTGCTGAATTCAGTGCACTCAACTATTTTGTTATATTATGTGAAGTGTATCAAATTGACTGACTTGTGCGAAGCTCTGGCAAAGGCACTTTTGGAACTTCTAAATGAAGAGGATCGCAAATTTGTCAGGCTTATAATTTGTATAGATGTATTTGGCTCCACCATTTTGAGGATGGAGATGATCATGGACCCTCCTGTTCCTGTCAGTGGTTTAGTTGCCTGCTACCATTGGTGACTGGATGTGGTAAGACTGTGGAATTTTTGATTTAATCCATTGATTAGGAGTGAATGCTGCTTCTGCTGTTTAATGTGCATTTAGCCCTGAGTTGTGATGTTACAGACTTGCAGGTCTATGTCTGTAACAAGTTGACAATATTGGTGTGCTATCATTTGATGATTATGTAAAATGGGCATAGTTTCGTGGAACACATTTCCAACATGTTGGATTTTAACAACAAAAGCAATGCAAGGGATAAATTGTGTTATTTATGAAAGGAAACTTCTGAATCCAGTTCTGAAGAATTTTCAGAGTGAACTCTAAGTGTTAACTCTGTTTCTTTCTCCAGCACTTTGTTTTTATTTCAAATTGTTCTTTTTGTCTTTTGAATATTCAGATTGGATCTGCTTTTTATTCATTCTGTAATATATTTGCAAACTGGGCACTAAAGGCCAATGTTGTGTTGTAGCTGAGCCGTAAGAATAGTTTTTTTAGATTATTCATTCACCCATGATGTAGGTGTCACTGGCTAGACTAGCATTTATTGCCCATCTCTAATTGCTCAGAGGGCAGTTAAGAGTCTACCACATTGCTGTGGTTGTGGATTTACATGTAGCCAGACAAGGTAAGAATGGCAGATTTCCTTCCCTAAAGGACATTAATGAACCAGATGGGTTTCCATGTTAATCGCCAATAGCTACATGGTCACCGTTAGACCATTAGATTTGAAATCTGGAAGAAAAAGCTGGCATAATGGCAACCATATAGCTATTGTTAATCGTGGTTTAAAAACCCATCTTGCTTCCTAATTGTAATTGTACCTTGTAGTAAAGCAGTGATAGTGTGTATTTGATTTTTAATTTCCCATCAACATTTTAAATGTTTTTAGCATGATCTCATTACAAATAAAGGTTATTATTCTGAGATATTTTAAATTGTAGTCCATGTAGACCAGTTTTTTGAGGATATGCCTAAAAAGATAGATGAGGGCAAAGCAGTAGATGTTGTCCGTAGGACTTTAGTAAAGCCCTTGACAAGGTTCCACATGGTAGACTGGGTAGTAAAATTAGATCGATGGGATTCAGGGAGAGCTTGCAAATTGGATGCAAAATTGGCTAGATAGTAGGAGACAGAGGGTGGTGGTGGAAGGTTGATTTTTGGAGCAGAGGCCTGTGTTCCAAAGGGATCGGCACTGGGTCCACTGTTGTTTGTCATTTATACAAATGATTTGAATGAGAATTTAGGAAGCAAAGTTAGTATGTTTGTGGATGACACCAAAATTAGTGATATAGGTGACAGTGAAGAAGGTTATCTAAGATTACAGAGGAATCTTGATCAATTGGGCCAATGGGCTGAAGAGTGGCCATGGAGTTTCATTTGGATAAATGTGAGGTGTTGACATTTTGGTAAGACGAAAATGGGCAGGACTTATACAGTTAATGGTAAGGTCCTGGGTAGTGTTATTGAACAGAGAGACCCAGGGCTACAGATACATTGTTCTTTGAAATTTTCGTCACGCGTAGACAGGGTGGTTAAGAAAGTATTTAGCACTTGTTAAACCATTGAGTGTAGAAGTTGGGGTGTCATGTTGAATGAATGAATGATTTTATTGTCACATGTATTTTACGGTGAAAAATACACTAAAATACAATGAAAAGCTTTCACTGTCCCCATGATCCAGCACCATTTTGAATAGTTTAAGATTTAAAAAAAAACATCAAGAGAGTCCATAACTCTTCCGCCACTGCTTCACTGCCGCCAGCACTGGACCCAAGTGCCGTCAAAGTCACTGTTGTTCAGGTACCAGCCATCATTCACCGCTGGGCCAAAGTCACTGATGTCGCCGCTGCTGATGTAGCAGCTGATGCCAGGTCCCAAGCTCGTCTCTCTGCCAGCTGCCTCAATAATGCTGTCTCCCTGAGTCCTGCACTGAGCTCACCAGCTGCATCGCTGCTGTCTACTAGAGGCCTCCTCCAAGCTCATGAGGCCACTGCCACGCTCCGGACCCCAACAATCTGCCTTCTGCCTTCCTTGTCGATGCTGTTGCCACCGATGATGCATGATCCAGAAGGTAACTAGAAGCAAAGCTAAAAAGAAAAAAAGAACAAGAGGTGAAGTAAAAACAAAAAAGCAGACAGAACAGAGGAGCCCTGGGCTCAGGATCCCGGCCACTGCCTACTCCACCACCATCTTAAACAACGGTTCCGGTTGTACAACATGTTAGTGAGGCCACTTTTGAAGTACTGCGTACAGTTCTGGTTGCCCTGTTACAGGAAGGATGTTGTGAAACTTGAAAGGTTCAGGAAAGATTTACAACGATGTTGCCAGGGTTGCAGTTCTGAGGAAGGGTTACTGGAGCCGAAATGTTAACTCTGATTTCTGTTCACAGATACTTCCAGACTTGCTCAGCTTTTCCAGCAATTTCTGTTTTTGTTTCTGATTTACAGCATCTGCAGTTCTTTTGGTTTTTATTAAGGAAAGGATAGATAAGATTGTAATTTTTAGTCATCCTGATAGGGATGTAGTCAACTAGTCTGGAGAGAAATTTAATGCATTTTGTTTCTGGTTCCTTAGTAACATTTATTGTCCATTTCTAATTGTCCTGAGAGTCATTGCTGTCCTTCTATTAATGGTACTCGACAATGATGTTTGATAGGATGTAGGAAATAATTATGGTTAGTAATGTGTTTAATCAGGACTGGAATATTTTTGAGATAACAAGGCTTAGAGCTGGATGAGCACAGCAGGCCAAGCAGCACCAGAGAGCAGGAAAGCTGACGTTTCGGGTTGAGACCCTTCTTCAGAAGAAGGGTCTCGACCC